GAGCAGAAAAGGGCTGCCAGAGCGCGTGTCCGCTCTTCTGCCGCTGTGCCCAGGCCACTCTGCAGCTGGGGTGACTCCGTGCGCTGGGAACCAGCTGAACTCCCCCGTTCAGGGCTGGGATGGCTCCGCCAGACCCCACCGTGTCTCTGTACTTCTCATCCTCATTGCAAATACTCGGGTTAACTGATCAGAAGAAGGTGCAGAACAGCTCCAAAGCAGACAGGGGGGCAAATGTCTCCTCCCAGGCTTTCCCACACATCCTGCGTGTGGGAATGTTTGTTCTGGCGATGGGAACCGCATGGACCAAACATCTCCAAGAACAGAGAGTCGCTTTGGGCCGGGGCATGCGAGTGGCACCAGGAGGAGGGTGATTCACTGCCGTTGCCCGCTGAAGGCTGGGTGGAGGCACCAGCTGGTCTCCAGGCTCTGCCAGCGCAGATAATCCACATCGGGGTGCGTGCCCGGCACTCCGAGCCCTGGTGCCTGCTGGGCAGAAGAGAAGCCGAGCCCTTGGGCGCTCAGAGTGGAGGACCCATCCCTTCCACACACCACCCACTGTCTGCACGCAGGGGCAGGACTGAGCACGCAGTTGCTGCTTTTCACCAGAAATTACTGTCCTGGAGCAGCAGAAAATGAAGGACCAACTGTCAGAGCCGCTGCCCTCCTTCCTGGCCCAGGCAGTGTGACCCTCCTCGTGCCAGGCTGTACCACGGCGAGGGGTTATGGAACGGACCCTGTCCTGAAGCTCTGTGCCCGTGAGGTCCTCACCCATCGTGGAAGCGAGCTGAGCTGCACCCAGTCACGTCAGACTTTGGCTGTGCCCGCCGGGGAGCGGGTGCGGAGCAACTGCCTTTGCATCTAAGTCCGCCAAGATAATACGTGTGGCACGGGTGGGCTGCAGGGCGAGAGGATGTCTGTGCCAGCTAACGATGGCTTCTGGAACAGATAAAATGCTGCCTGCTTATATTTACCTTGCAATGGCTGCAGTCGTCCCTTTTTTGTTGTTGTTCTGGCTGGGGACTGGCACGGTAAGTCCTCGGATCCTCACCGTCATGGAGACAGGCTCGGGTTCACCACCAGTGCTGCAGAGGAGTGACTGTGACTCACCTTCCAAAAGAGGAATAGAGTAAAGACAGTCATCTCTGCTCCAAGGAGCCGAGCGAGCCCCCGCACCTCTCCCAGCCCAGCAGAGACGGGGAGGCATCATCCTGCTCTGGCTAGAACCTCCCAAAGAGCCCAACAGTGGGGTCTGCCGAGAGCGGCGCAGCCAGCACAGGCTCCCAGCCCTGCATTGCCCTGCCCAGGCTCTCGTGTTCACTGAGCCCCAAGAAAACGAGCGCATGAACAAAATCATCTCTCCCCCCGGCTCTGACAATTCTCTTCTCTGGAAGCTGATGCTTCCCTGGCTGTTCTGAGGTCTTGGAAACAGAGATGAGCACTCTCTAATTCTCTGGTACGAAGGAGCAAGGTGAGCACGAAGCAGCTTTGCCTGCACGGGATGTGGGTCTCGTTGGATGGAGTCTTTGGCAAAGCTGAAGGGTGTGAGCTGCGAGCACCGAGAAATCCCACCTTCCTTTAGACAAGGAACGAAAGCGTGTGCGTGCAGTGACAGGAATTTCAACTGCAAGATGGATGTGGAGGAAGGGTGCTAAAATCGGAAAACTTGCAGAAACCGTGACTTGACTTTTCAGAGCGTGGTGGGTTTGGGGATGGTACCACGGCACGGGGACGCATGGCAGCCCAGGCTTGGTGTCAACATCCCAGCGGGTGGGCTGTCCGCCCTCCGGCCCCCCGTGCCTCTGAGGCAGCAGGGGAGGGTTTGCCCACTGAATCCCACCATCCACAATTTCAGTTGTTCAAGGAATTCGTGGATGGAACCCTCTGGGAAACTGCCCTCAGGGATGAGGGAGCTGAACAGAGCTGGTGGTTCTTTAAGGACACTTTTCTTAGAGCACAGGAGCTCTCAAATCCCGTATGTTGAAAAAATCGGGCAAGGGAGGCAGGAAACCAGCATGGCTCAGCAAGGGCCTCCTGGTCAAACCAAAGTGCAAGAAGGGGAACCAGAGACGCGTATCCTAGAAAGAGTATAGGGATGCTGCCTGGACGTGTAGGGCTGGCATCAGGAAAGGTAAGGCGCAGCTGGAGTGGAGTTTGGCAAGGGATGCAATGAATTAAAAGAAGAGCCTCTACAAGTACATTGGCCAGAAAAGGAGGATTAAAGAAAATGTGTCCCCCCCCTTAAATACGACGGGAGAGCTGGTGACAACTAAAGTGGGGAAGGCTGAGGTACTCAACCTTTTTTTTTTTTTTGCCTCAGTTTTCAATGGTAACCTCTCTTCCCACGTCTCTCAAGCCCCTGAACCTCAAGGCAGAGACCAGGGGAACAAAGTCCCTCCCATTGTAGGAGAAGATCAGGTTCAAGACCACCTGAGGAACCTGAACGTACATAAGCCTACACAATCCGACAAGGTGCAGCCCAGGGTCCTGAGGGAACTGGCTGATGTAGTTGTAAAGCCACTCTCCATCATATCTGAAAAGTCATGGCAGTCAGGCAAAGTTCCCAGTAACTGGAAAAAGGGAAACATCCCACCCCATTTTATAAAGGGAACATGGAGCAGATCCTCCTGGAGGACTCGTCAAAACTCATGGGAGACAGGGAGGTGATTCAATACAGCCAGCATGATTTCACCAAGGGCAAACCATGCCTGGCTAATCTGGCAGCCTTCTGGGATGGAGTGACGGCATCAGTGGACCAGTGAAGAGCTACGGATGTCATCTACCTGGAGTTCTGTAAGGCCTTTGATATGGTCCCCCCCAACACTCTTACCTCTAAATTGGAGAGATATGGGCTTGAGGACGGACTGTCATATCATAAAGAATTGGCTGGATGGCCACATCCAAGAGTTACAGTCAATGGCTCAATGTCTAAGTGGAAAGCAATAACAAGTGATGTCCCTCAAGGATCCATACTGGGACCAATAGTGTTTAATGTCTTCATCAGTGGTGTGTATGGTGGGATCGAGCGCACCCTCAGCCAGTTTGCCGATGACACCAAGCTGTGTTGTGCGGTCGACACGCGGCAGGGAAGGGATGGCATCCAGAGGGACCTGGACAGGCTGCAGGGGTGGGCCCATGTGAACTTCATGAAGTTCAGCAAGGCCAAGTGCCAGGCCCTGCCCATGGGTCAGGGCAATCCAAAGCACAAACCCAGGGTGGATTGAGAGCAGCCCTGAGGAGAAGGACCTGGGGCTGTTGGTTGACAAGAAAACCTGAGCATCCCCTGGGCTGCATCCCCAGCAGCGTGGGCAGCGGGTGAGGGAGGGGATTGTGCCCCTCTGCCCCGCTCTGCTGAGACCCCCCGGGAGTCCTGCGTCCAGTGGAAGGTTGGTGGAAGGGGTCCCTGCCCATGGCAGGGGGGCTGGAATGGGATGATCTTTGAAGGTCCCTTCCAACCCAACCATTCGATGATCCTCCCATGGAGTGACACTGGGGATGAAGGGTTCCAGGAGGAGAAGACCCACAATTTTGAACTGGGAAGTGGCCACATGCATCCCAGCGTGACAAGTCGGTGGCAGGGGGAGCCCAGAGACCTCGTGCGATCATCCCGATGCCAGCCGATGTGACAATCCCACCTCAGCCCAGCGCTGCCAGTCAGTGGCCTCCGCGGCGGCAGCCCCCGGCGCCGGCCTCCCGCGGCCGGCGAGCCCCCACGGCTGTTGCGGCTCGTGGCTCTGATGACTTGGAGCTGCTGAAACAGGAGGTGAAAACACAATTTCCTGGTAAAACCACATTTCCCCGCCGGCAGCGGCGATGGGCTCCGGTCGTGCCAGCAGCGCTGGTGGGTGGTGCAGGAGGTCTGTGGAGAAGGAGCCGGGGCCGGGGCAGCTGGGTCCTGCTCCCGCCTGGGGCCGGGACAGGAGCATCCCTGGGTACAGCCGGCGCAGGCAGGGCTTGCAGCCTGCTCCAAGCCTTCTTCTCCCTCCCGTGGAGCAGGGCTGCGTGGGGTGACGGACGGGCTTGCACGGGTGACGGAGCCCTGGCCCAGGCTGCCCAGGGAGGCTGTGGAGTCTCCTTCTCTGGAGATATTCCAGCCCCGCCTGGACACGGTGCTGTGCCCCCTGCTCTGGGTGACCCTGCTTGGGCAGGGGGTTGGGCT